ATATATAATGTATAATGTAAAACAGTAAAAATAAATATTTAAATAATATATAAATAATATCTTATTATTAGTTCTAAAAAAATATATAATGTAAAACAGTAAAAATAAATATTTAAATAATATATAAATAATATCTTATTATTATATTATAGTTCTAAAAATATATATAAAGATCACGTCTTATGATTTTTTTTTTGTTGCTTTGATGAAAAGTTTGATATATTGTAATTAATCACAGAGTTTAAGAGGTTGTTTTAGTTCAAGACTTTGCTGAAGAGTTCTGAAATTCGTATTGGGAAAATGGCCAAGCCCCCCCAGACTGATCAAAAGCCCCTTATACACACCAGGCATGGTGGAGCGTCCTCATGACTATCAGGGTGTGAGCGTGTAAAGGGTTTCTTGGGGAGCAGAGATGGTGACACAGCGTTGTCAGTCAATAAAGCAGCTCTGAGCGCAAATGCCAGCGGCACGCAGCAGGTGAGCTCTGCAGCGGCGGAGAGCGGATAGATGTCGAGCTACTCCAGAAAATCAATGCAACCCCTCAAACGCTGGTCTCATCAGTGATTGCCACCTAAATAGTGCAGATTGGTTTAGCATGTATTGAAGGGTGGAGGCTGAGGATCTTGTCATTTTGAAGATTTATCCAGCATGGATTGGAAAGCATTTGCTAAATCAAACCCATTTGATTATTTCAGAGAAGAACAGAGTACAAATGATAGTCAATAGCTGGCTTTGTTTAGATTGGTATTGATTAGTATTTATGGTCGTTTATTGGCGGGTGGCAGGGAAAGAGGCAATCGTAGATTGTTTTTCTTAAGCATAGCTCTGATACAGGAGCACAATGCTGAAAATCTTGGAAAGCAGAAGCCAATGCTGTGACAGAGACCATATAATCCCTACATTTCAACTGAATGAAGAAACACTCGCATATAAACAAATCTCTCATATATAAACATATACATTACATATAAAGAAAATCTCTATCGCCTGCGTCAATCATAGAAAATCCCATATTACTCAACCACTAATAAGTATGCATTTTCTCATTAAAAAAAACAGAAAACATTATTGTCTATTAAAACCAAATCTTTTTTTAACACTTTAATCATTTACACCTTCTGAGTAGTGTGATTTCATAAATCATTTGCCTAGAAACTCTTGCTTGATCAAAAGCAGTCTCATTTTCAGGTCTTATTCTGTTTTTCTTCGCATTAGCAGTGACATTCAATTCAATTCATTTCACGTTTATTTGTATAGCGCTTTTCACAAAACAAATCGTTGCAAAGCAGCTTCACAGAAAATGAAAGTTTCTACATTACATTTAGGAGTAGTTTATCAGTGGTGACTATGCCAAGGTGATGTCCATATGGCAGATATGTACAGAAAAAAATCATGCAGTTACTTAATGACATGTATTCAAACAAACAGTGAACACTATTAACAGCAATGATTATATGTTGTGATCAAACTTGTAGGAAAATTTGGTAGTTTTGTACATCTGCTTAGGTGAAGATATTTCAGCAAGGAATAAGCTGAAAAGTCTTGAGAAATTCCTCTCACTTATACATTGCAATTCTGAAAAAAAAATGATATTAATTTATTTTTTTTAAATATAAATATTTTAATATTTTATGAATTATTTTAATCAAACATTTGTATAAATATTTTTAATTGTAATTAAAATAGTTATGGAAATATTCATCATTATTAAAGAATTATTTTAATATTTCAATGAATAATTATTTATTATTAATAATAATTTGAAATTAAATGATGTAATAAGTTTTCTATAGCTATCAAAAAAATTTTTTCATTTTCTTTTAAAAAATAAAGTATGGAAAACAAAACTATAATGTTTTTATGTAGTGAAGCATGTGTTTTCAAGACTCTTAATCACATCCAATATCTATACATCTTTTCATGTTATTTAGATAATGTTTATTCATTGCTGTGTCTATCCACCAGCAAAAATAAACAGCATTTTTTTGTGCCAGTATCTAATTTCAAACCTCTTTATTAATCCACATATTCATCTCCATATAGTGCATATCAGAGCTCCTTGTTAAGAGTCCTTGTGATTCGTCCTGCTGTTTCATTTAATTTTAAATGTTATCTAGCAGAATGTACAACCTGCCAGCAGAGCTGCCCTCATTTAAAGTCATAAGTTTGGTGGGTTTTCATTCACAAGGTTGTGCGAAGCTATTTGCAGTGACAGCAGATATTATCTGACATTTTGGAGGTGGATGCTGCAGTGAATGTCAAATCAGAGACAGAATTCTCTCCCATTTCTGTTGCACACAAGGATGTTGTAAGTAATGCGAGGAATAATGCCTTTTGTATAACCTAAAGGAAAATTGGTGCAAAATTTACAGGAACCAGAACAAGTTGAATGCACTGAGGAGTCTCGTGTTTTGTCCTGCAGTGCAGTGTTCTGTTGTTTATCTTGCACAGCATCCTTTAAAGTCTGTGTAAAGGCAATTCAGAGAATTGTTTCTGAACACATTATAAATGTTAGAAATGTATTGCTGAAAACACATTACAAAGACTGTGAACTATGTAGTACTGAATTGTGGAGTTAGACCGTTAAATAGGTTTTCACCATTTTCAATTCTAAGCTTCGTTTCTTGGTTCTCTCTTGTCTTGTTTCCTGGATTTGTTTCCCTGCCTGTTTTGGATTTATCTTTGCCCTATTGTTATTGTTTGGCCTGATTGCCCGTGTTATGACCTTTGCCTGTTTTTGGACTTTGAATTGTGGATTTAATAAATACTGTGTCTGGTTCCTCAACCTTCGTGTACCTGTGCAGTTTCATGACAGGCTGGGTGGTTAATAACACATTTTTCTGTGTTGTGACAAACTCAGAACACATATTTAATATTGCTTTACACTACACAGACTATAACACCCTGAAGCTCCGACGCTTTATTTCTCCTTTTCATTATTTAAATGCAAGGTCATCCATTTCGTTATTAAAAAGAGCTGTCCATGTTGCTTCTGAGAGTTCTCAGCCTTATTTTCGTTTCACTTGTGCTTCTTTGTTATTTATTCAAGAGGAAGCTTCTGGTTTGAAGCTTCTCATAATAATAAATATACTGTGAAAATTGCATTTGAGTTTTTTTTTTTAAAAGCTGCACCCTTCACACGTACAGTTGTTCTTATCATCCTTACGATCAAAAAGCATTCCAGACTTCAATATATGACTTCAATAATCTTTTTTAGGGTCCTTGAGTGCTCGAGCCAGATATCATGAAGTGGAACCTCTTCAAAAAGAAGCCAGAAGCCATGGTGGGCCCGGAGCCCACGGGACTCGGCGGCACCCACCCGTCACACACCATGACGATGGCCCCCGCCATCTCCACACCTGCGGACAACTCCACCGAATCTGAGGGACCCGTCAACAAGAATGATGTCTTTGAGGAAATCAAAAGCAAGTTCCTCAATGAGATCGATAAAATCCCATGTAAGTCCTGCTGAGATATTTTACAGTCCCACTAGATCAAGAAAATCAATAGTGTATCATTATGCCGAAGATGTTTTATGGATTTTAACACTAGCCAATTTGTCTGGCCCCTAGATATCTGACCAATCTGACCTACAGTAGAAGTGCAATGCAATAAAGAGCAACTTAAAGGAATAGTTCACCCAAAAATGAATATTTGCTGAGAATTTACTCACCCTCAAGCCATCCAAGATGTAGATACGTTTTTTTCTTCATCGGATCGGATTTGGAGAAATTTTGCATTACACCACTTGCTCACTAATCACTTGCTCACTAATTGATCCTCTGCAGTGAATGGGTGCCGTCAGAATGAGAGTCCAAAAGGAATAGTTCACCCAAAAATGAATATTTGCTGAGAATTTACTCACCCTCAAGCCATCCAAGATGTAGATACGTTTTTTTCTTCATCGGAACGGATTTGGAGAAATTTTGCATTACACCACTTGGACACCCATTTGATCCTCTGTAGTGAATGGGTGCCGTCAGAACAGTTGATAAAAACATCACAATAATCCGTAAGTAATCAGTCCACCAATTAATGTCTTGTGAAACAAAAAGCTGCATGTTTGTAAGAAACAAATCCATCATTAAGATGTTTTAACTTTAAACA